TAAGGCTTCCTCAGGGGGTGGTTTCAACCTTGACCATTGCTGGGGTATCTTGAAAGACACCCCAAAATGGCAGGCTACCCAGGAAGAGAATAAATCTCGAGGCAAGAAGACCCAGATATCTAGCCCACCTCCTCCTTCGACCGATGTGAGCAGCTCGACAAATGCGATCTCAAGCCCTCCAGCAATCGATGTTGAAGACGATGAGTCGGAACCTGCTCGATCGGTCCTTGGAAACACTCGTATCGAAGGTTCTAAAGCGGCCAAGCGAAAACGAGCGGAGGAGGCGTCAATAACAAAAATCGTTGCAATGCAAAAGGATCTTGTTGAGATATCAGGCGAACGATTAACATCGATGAAAGCTGCATCGGACGATGCAATCATGTCAAAGGATCTGACTTCGATGGACAAGGAGAGTCGTGCGTATTATCAAAGGAAGAGACGAGCAATCATCGCTCGCGAGCTTGAGCAAGAAGAGAAGGAGAACAAGGAAAAGGAGAGAAAGGAAAAGGAGAAAAGGGAAAAGGAAGAAAGGGAGAAAAAGGAGAAGGAAGAAAAGGAGAAAAGGGAGAAGGAAGAAAGGGAGTAAAAGGAGAAGGAAAAAGAGCTAGGAGAAACCGAAACCGAAACCGAAAGCGATGAAGAAGAGGGAGAGGAAAATGATGAGGGCAAGGGTGAGAATGACGACGAGGAGGATTGATTACAACAAACAAAACTGATTGATAATACTATATTCACTCGATTTCATTCACTCTCGAACTCCTTTTTACACTTGATCTTGACACTCACACTTGCAACTTTTCTTATTCTTTTATTCTTGTTATTCTTGTTTGTATTTTTCATTTAAAATCAATTGCAAATGAAAGAATACAAGAAATAAACTGAGACACAATCAAGAGTAAGCATAGAAAAAGAAAAAAGAGAGAAAGAGAAACAAAAAAAAAGAAATCAAAACGATGCAAGAGAAAGAGAGAGAAACAAAGAAAAGGAGATGAAAACGATGCAACAAAGAAGAAATATGATTGAAGAAAAAAGTTTCATTCATCCCCCTCTGACCCATGCTTATTCCACAGGTGATCGATAAGATCCTGTTGAAGGCGTGCATGCGATGAATGATCGCAAATGGACTGATAACGGAGGAGAAACTGTTTGAAAGATGAATTGTGAGGGCCATTGGTGGTGATCTTCGCTTGAGTTTGAGGTGTTTGATCGTAGTCCCAGTTGCCATGAAGTTCGCTGTCGGATTCATCTTCGATTGTCATATTGTGGAGTATAATCACAGCTGTCATGATTGTTGAAAGATCCTCGTGTTTCCAAAATCGGCCAGGGAAACGGATGATAGCATAGCGAGATTGAAGAACTCCAAAAGCACGTTCCACATCTTTACGGAAAGCCTCTTGCATTTTCGCATAATGCTTCTTCTTGGCTCCTTGAGGTTCCGAGATCGACTGTATCAAGGTGGCATATGGAGGGTAGATCCCGTCGGTGAGGTAGTAACCAAGCTCGTATTTATTTCCGTTAACTTCGTATGACACTGATATTCCTTCACCCTCCTGGAGCTGCTCGAAAATCGGAGATCGGTCGAGTATATTAATGTCGTTGAGGGTCCCAGGCAGCCCGAAGAATGCATGCCAGATCCAAAGGTCGTATGACGCCACTGCCTCAAGAACAACCGTTGGTTCCTTCTCCTTTCCAGTATAGCTTCCATGGTCAGCAACTGGGCAATTCTTCCAGCACCAGTGCATGCAATCTAGTGATCCCATCATCCCGGGAAATCCTCGCTCCTCGGCAACGGCTAGGAGTCTTGCTGCATCTTCTTCATTCGGTTTTCGCAAATATTCTTTTCCATAAACATTGACGATTGTTGAGCAGAACTTCTTTAAGCATTCGATCGCAGTGGATTCACCTGAATTGAAATAATGAGCATGGCAGGTGAGATTCGAGCTAGTAAATGAGAAAAAAATAAAAAAATTAAGACATACTCATACGGAGGTACTCATCGACGGAGTCTGCGCTACATCCATATGCAAGAATTCGAATAGCAGCGGTCGCCTTTTGAAGAGTAGAAAAACCTAATCTTCCAGCGGCATCACGTTTTTGAACAAAGTATTGGTCGGCCTTCTCGATATCTCCAACGATTCGGAGGAACAGGCTCCTGCGCATCCTAAATCGGCGACGGAATATTTCGGGGGGATACGTGCAATCCTTGTCGAAGTAGTCCTTGAATAGCTGATTGTGGCCTTCGATTCGGTTTCGTTGAATCTCTCTTCTTCCAGGTGTTGAACCACCACGCTTTTTCTCTTGCTTTGTGTTAAGTATTAAGGTGAGTGTTGCTTGTAGTGAGGCAAGCACATCGTCGTCGTCGTCCATCCATTTGAGGATATCGTCGATGTCCATGACTTGATTCGATGGAGGGGAAATGATCTTCTACCAGCGGCAGGGGGATAACTGCCAGTCCATAATTGGGATTGACCCGCGACCCCTGTGACATGGGATCGCGGCCCGGGGAACGCGAGGAAGTTGCCCCCCGGACCGTTGGAGATGCTCTAACCTGACCTGAACCGTGGCAAGTGGAACGTCCACCGTAGCACACTCCTCCTCATCATAGTCGTCATACTGTTCATCTTATCCCAAATGAGGAGGTGGATTGGGACCAGAGACCGGGGAATGTGATTCTTCAATGATCGGTGATGATTTCCTTGGAACAGGGAGGGGTGATGGCGGTGGGGCTGGTTGGTAGGTCAAGAAGGCTGAGGAGGGAGAGGGGATAGTCCTTATACTAGAAACCGACGTTGGAGTGGTATTCGGGTTCCGACAGCACCGATCCACAAACTCTTGTCGTTGAGCCTGTGTGATGAACGGGTTGGGACAGTTGAGACTGCCTGTGTGGACACCCGGAACTATCGGCGCCAGGCATCGAAAACACAAATTCCGAGCCTTGCAAATGGCCCGGGCCGCGTCCAGAACGCGGCGGGAACCACCTTTGTTGCGTCAATTTCCATCGCATCAGGATCCCGTTGGGGACGAGGTGGTGGGGGCGGCGGATGGACCACACGGGACGATGACAAAGGGTGGTGCTGATTTCCCATTGGAGGATCTGGAGGCAACAAAGCGAGGATGTCGAGTTGGGCTGCCGCGTCCGATGCCAACTCCATCTTCTCGTCTAAGGTCTGGGCGTCCGTCCATTGCTTCGACATGGCCTTTCGGATGATCCTTGGATTAAGACCTGCGGTGTACTTCTCGATCCGCGTCGCCTCAATGTCTTCGACCAAATAAACCAAGGATTTGAATTGCGAGTTATACTCGCCGATGGTCAGATTCCGTTGTTTACAAGCCTCCAACGCCCGTTTGGCGTTTTCTCTCATGAATTTGTCCCCGAAGACTGTGATGAGACCCTCGAGAAACACCAAAACCAAAGACAATGTAGGGAGGACGAAAGGTTGGCCGGCCAGATCTCCATAGACATCGATGATCCCCTGCCGTCTGGCATTGTCAATAACCAGTGAGCTGTACCAATTCTCAGCCGGCGAGGGGGTTTTCTTCCGTTTGGATGGGTGGAAACCAAAATGACGAGAGATCTAAACCACTTGTCGCTTCTCCGAGATGAACCCCGCCCTGTTGTTACGAAGAAAGTCCCGTATCGTCCGGAGAAACGAAAGGAGATGACCGGGTTCTCCCGAGAAGAAAACGTCTTTGAGCCGCATGGGTTCCGGCTGCGTCGCCTGCTCGTCCCCCTGAAACGGTTGCTCTACGAAAATCGGTGCGGGCTGGGGCCGTTGCGGTTGTTCCTGAAAAACCGGGGCGGCCTGGGCCTGATGAGCTTGAACCGACGGGAATCCGGGCCTCTGAAAGGGTTCGTCGGAATCTGTGCTTGAGACTGGAAGTGAGGGGGAACAGCGGGATGAGTATGGACATTCGGCTCTTGAAGAGGAGCATGGACGGGAGGGGGGGGGGGTTGGAAGATCGCAGAGTTTTCCATCAGGGTCATCATCCGATCGATGGACCGCTGCATCCTGGCTACCTCCGCCAAAACTTGGTCCAGCTCTTCCCCCCGCACCACTCGAGTCGCCGTCTCCGAAGGTTGAGGTCCACCGAATCCAGGTCCACCGGATGCCAAAGGTTGAGGCCCACCGGATCCCGATGCATGTTGCGGGTCGATGTCGTCCTGGGTCTGATCGCCGGCGTGTATTAGTCCATACGGCGGCATGGCGAATCGAGAACGTGATCCGGGGTGAATTCGTCGAGCTGGCAAGGAAGGAGGGAATGGGAGAGAAAGGTGGGGAGGCGCGGGCCAAGAAGAATACGGAAAAGTTTGTCAAGGTTGAAGAGTTGAAAGGGGTTGATTTTGAGTAGATTGGTCAGAGTTTGAGTGTATAGAAAAAAATTCGTCGGAAGAGGATGTTTCCGACAGTTTGTTAAAGTAATTTCAAGGTGTATGGATAAAACAAAGTTTTATGGTATGTGTGGGATTTATAATGTAAAGAATTTGTAGGGTAACAGGTGCTTTTCTTAAGCGGCAGGGTGGCAGGGTGCAGGTAGGATTTTCTAATCCTGATGATGAGAGATGAAGAGATACGATTTTAAAATTTTAAAGTATTTAGAAGATGAAAACAAAATAAATCCCATAAGGGAAAAGAGCGAGTTCAAAAGCAAGAGACTTATTTAGGATAAAAGTAAATTGACACGCGTCTGGATCTCAACTTTCCTCGACGCGCCTAACAACATAGTATGTATAAGTAGAAATGTAAATAACATAGTATGTAAAATGGAACTAGAATATAACAAAACTAGAAATAGAAAAAACAAGATCTGTATCTGAAAGGAGAATTTAAGAAAATATTTTTCTTTATTTTTATTTTTATTTTTTTCTTTTTTCCTGAGTTCGCCTATTGTTGACACTGTCCTCCGGATCAAGTAGACCGGAGGACACTCATGTCTTATTCCCGCAGCCGCAGCATGCTTAATCTGTCAAGATATTCGAGCCAGGTTTTGGTATGTAGCATCTCAAGCACAATTTGACAATCTGATGTATTTATGAACATTTGCTTGAATATTTACACAAATAAGGCAAACGAAACAAATTTGAATGCAGTCAGGAAGTGAAAGGAAATTGAGGAACTCTGCTAGTTGATTAGTAAAGATTTCTAGCGAGTTGAAGGAAGTTATGGATAGCAGTATTGATGAGGATGTTCCAAGTGATGAACCAATTCTGGTAGTACTAGTTCTGATCAGACGGATCGTCGATCAAGGGGATGAGATGGAGGACGACAGAAAGCAAGGCGGGTTCGAAGTTCGGAGGAAGACGTTCGACTACCCCGGCGAAAAATAGATACCTGGGGGCACTGCAAGGCCCTTCTAAAGTCGCCGGATCAGCTTGGGTCAGGAGATGCACAAGACTGCTGAGTCCACCATGGATCATTCCAGCTGATCGAGATAATGAGTCGAGTTGAATAGAATTCATCTGCCTAAATTTGGGTAGCTTGAGCCTTTTCGGATTCATGTTCAGCCCATCTTTCGATAATTTCTTGAAGAATAGTTTGAAGAGTTTGATGATTGGTATGATGAGCAGAGTGAGTTGGATGGCTCGTGGGCACATCAATTTTCTCTGTGAGGGACTAGATTTTGGAGCATTTGGAGTGACGATGCTAAGGGTATTCTTTAGTAACTGATCGATATCAGCTACTGCATATGCCCTACGATCTTCTGCAACATCCAACTCGGAACCTTCGAAGTGTTTGATCATGTAGTCGATCGAATGGAATGCTTGTTGGGATGCTGCTTGAAGATCGTTTACTTCATCATCCGGTCCATCTAGTACTACCAATCTAACAGTCGAGAGTTCCATTTGTTGGATATGTTCAGAGGCCGTATTAAGGAATGAACAGATGTCCCGATGCAGCTGATGAAACGACTCCTCCAGGTCGATCAGTCTAAACCTCTTGAATTCCTTGAGGTCATGGTCATCCCTTTGGTTCTCGATAAACAACCTTTCTGGACAGAGGATCCGGACGGCAGAGTCGAGCTGAGAGATCCTGGAATCCAGTTCGGGCAAGAGCTCCAAGACCCTTCCGAGTCTGGGCTCGGGTTCTCTCCGTAAGGCTCGCGGCTCTAGGAAGGTTGTGATGGTGGTGAGTTGTTCTTTCAACAGAGGTAAGAGGCTCGAATGCAGCCGATCGTAGTGGATTCCCTTCGAGTTCACAGCTTGATCATTGACTAATGCAGCTTCTCGATTAGTCGTCCGTTGTGATTCATGTTTATGCTTCAGATTTGTAAAAGCCTGTGTGACCAAGTCTAAGCAGAGGGGGTTTCGACAGCTAGGATCAGTACCGAATGACTTGTTTAAGGATGACTGATGCCATGGGTTTGGATTTTTAGATAAATACCTCCAAGCTGCTTGATCTGTAGTCCAGCTTCGTCGGAGGTGTTGCTGCTTTGGCTGTCCATGTCTTTCTTTTCCTTTCTTCGCTTCCAATGGTTTTGGTTGAGTTCAGCAATTCTGTGCCCCACCAACGATTTCTGTACTCCCCCATCAAGATTGTCGATCCACGCTCAGACAGAGCCATCCTGGGAATACCAAAAGGGTAAATGTCATTTTCTGCTTTCGGATTTTTCATTTTGAATGATGGGTGGGTGGGTCGATCCCTCCACAAGCCTGAGAGGCGAAGAGCCCCAGTCACCGGCATTGAAACGCTGGCCAACTCACCCGTCAAAAACCCACGGCCATGAGCAAGTCTCAACGTCGCGTCAACCACAGCAAAGCAGAACGCTCCACCTCCTCCTCATGCACCAAAGCGGAGAAGTGAGCCTTCTTCCTATTCTATCATCAAGATCAGCTGATTCGAGACTAGCACAAGTCGAGCAAACGGGTTCATCTGTACATACTTCCCCAAAGTAAGTCCTCCATCCTCCCCTACACCACCAGTGCAGTTGGACGTCCCAGGGGCAGGGTCCAGGGGGACGGCCCCAGGACAGCAGCCCCCACATACCAGAGCATCCCAGGGGCGTGCTCCTCCACAAATAAAACACCATCTCTGGGATGTCCTTGTGGAGCATCCTCGTGACAGCCCCCCAATTCATCCCACTTCCGTCCTGGAGGTGTTTCAGGGATGTCTCCTCAAAGAATTTCCATCAGCAGGATTTTTGCTAACTTAACCCAAGTCCCTCGATCGGAGGGCCTGTACCAGGCGGGCGCAAGCGCCCCTCGCGAAGCGAGCCTCCGAAGGAGGGACTTGCCCCAAAGGTCCGCGTTTTGGCGTGCAAGCTGGGGGCTTTTGATAGGGAAAAAGCTTGCTCCGACCATTTCCCTCCCTTCCCACTGGAATTAATATCTGCCTTTTAGACGGGCAAAATCCCCCAGGTCTTCTCTATCTTTCTGTGTAAGACTTAGGTACACAGGCCGGTTATATTGGGCCCCACCCCCCTTGAAAAATGGAAATTTTCTTGGAAGTTTGATGACGGTCTTCCCGTTCCACCAATCAGATTCGTCGATCTTCTCCAATACTCTGTCTGTACACATGTATGGCTACATACCTCCTAGGTATGTCACATACCTACCTGTATCTACTATTTGCCCTTATTCCATACCCATAATTTTCAAACCTGGTGTCATCTAGTAATCAAGACGGGTTCCTTTGCTTTAGAGCCCGGTATGTCAGAAGCTACCGGTGGCGGACTGATGCCTGAATGGCTTCATTGAGCACTTGAGACAAGTTTCTTCGTGCATGGCCAGAGTCTCAGAGGCTGAAAACAGTCTCCAACCCATCCAATATAGGGTCATGGAAGTAAATAGTCATTCTTACTTGTTTGAGAGCATGTTAGAAGATAGAATTACCGGGTCATCGGGATTGGAAACTTGCTAGATCACTGATCAGGTTTTCGAGTGGGAAAGACATAAAACATTAGTCACATTGGGATGACTTGTGCCCCATCATTGCCGACAACGTACTCTGCTCCCCTATAGTTAGCGAGTTTACCATCAGTTCGCTTTTAGTCTTGTCTGATCCGCACTCTAATCTTGAGACTTTTCTGATCCGGACACTGATCATTTGCTGTCTAATACTCACGAATTTACCATACCAATAGCCATGGAGTCACCAGCCGAAACCCTTAAGGTTCTCAATATTTGCAAACTGCTCAACTCAACACCCACAAAGATGACACCCAAGCGCTTGTTGCATATCTTTTTGGAATCCAATAACTCTGAAATAGCCTACTTGCGACGGTTGTGGGCTCGCCCACGAGGCCTTGATTCGACCATCCAGTTGCTCAATCTCCTACGAGATGAAATACTTAGCTCCGAAGGTGGTCGTGCCCGGTGGTCTGATTTCATTCAGCAGGAGGTGTGCATCATCGCATATCTTTCTCTCATGTGGATACTGACACATCTATATGTTTTTCTATGCAGGCAATCTCGATCCTAGTGTCACAAGAGTCGCCTCGAGGTAATCATCCGGCAGGCTCCTTCCACAGCTCTCTGACTGTCAAGGAGGCCTTTTTTACGGCCGAGGAGCAGCGGGTTCAAGAGATAGCCATGACCTCCGAGGACATGCCGTTCTTGTATGGTCTCATGGGTGGAATGCTTCGGGGTCATGGCCATGACAAAGCCTCGTCTGCCGACAATGAGCCCAGTGCCTCCCCGGACTTGTCTGAAGACCACCCCGGGTCAACCAACGACCAAGCGACACCGGAGGATTTTGCGGAAGTCTCCTACTATCTGGCACTTAGTGGAGAGGAGCGCAAAAATGCTCGGATTGATCGAGTAAGCAGCTGGTTAACTTGTGGTTTGGTGCTATAATGGTCTGACCAATTGCGCGAAAATTCAGATAGCAACAACTATATGCTCCATCATGGCCTTTGCCCGAAACCGACGCGCCAACGGCTTGCAATTGAAGAATGCAGTAAGGTTCACAGCATGCGGGGTCTCAGAGCGGGTTCAAGAATATCTACATTACCTTGGGTTGTCTGCTTCTCGAAGGACGGCTATGAGTGCACTGAAGACTTTGGCTTCCGAAGGGGAAGAGGCCATTAAGAAGGTCATGGCTTGGGAGGAAAACACGCCGATTGCTCCGACAATCTGCATCGATAATATTGATATGGAGCAACGAGTCCATGACATCTCGGTTGGAAGGAGGTCGAACACTTTTCGGGGTACCTGGGGATATATTCATGTTCCAAATCCATCTCTCCTCAGTTCGCTTAACATGGAAGAGCTTACCTTACAAGCGTATCAAGAATCTATTCAGAATTTTAGAACGTTCAGCATAGAGCCAAAGCATTTCATGCCTACACCGGAGGCCAAGATAAGCGAGGTTGAGGTTTGGAAGAGTCAAATCGCTCGGGTCCTCATGGAATATATTGCTTTACCCTTAGATAAATCCAAGGCGATTCCGACCGAGCCGGCTGTGATTGATCAGATCAGCGCAGAAAAGCCTACTATCCACATGCTCAAATTGATGGATGTCTCGGACAACTCGGCTGAAAGCATAGGGCAAGTGTTTGCAACCATCCATAAGCAATCGGGGCTGTCGGATAAGCATTTCTACGGGCGTCTCCAGCCCATGGATGGGGACTTAGGCACCATCCAGAATTTCAACAGCCTCCGGTCCCAGCGGGCACCCAGCCCTTATCCCAAGGAAAACCTCGACAATGTTATTTTCCAGCTTGGGGCTTCCCATACTCTGTGGAATATCGCATCGGCCATTTTCACACATCACTTTGGGGACCCTTCGGACCAGACGAACTGTGGCGCGTGGCATTTTCTAGAAGCCATCGGTTTCCCAGCAGATAAGGCAATCCAGAAGAAGGATTTTACCCTGATGATCAATCAGATGGAAAAGGTCATGGAAGCCATGTTGTATTACTGCTTAAGGTATGACCCACTTTCTCCAGGACTTTGATCGGGCACATTCTGATTCATTACCTTGTTCTTAAGGGTCATAATGAAGAACCAGTTCCAAAAATTGGGTGAAGATCGACTCTCCATCCCCACCTCGCAATGGAATCAAATAGTCAATGACTGTTACGAGCAATTCTGTTCGCCGGAGGCACGTAGCACTGCCGCCAGGCAGGTCAGCCCCAAGCTGAGCAACCTCTTGATTATGTTGCATGATTTCTCCTCAGTTGTTGAGGCGAAGCGATCCATGCGAGCAGGTGACATCGGACGGCTCATCAATGTCTGGAAAAAGTGGTGTCTGATGACACAAGGTCTTAAAGGACTTACAAATTACTCTTCTTACCTCCCTCGCATGGTGTTGTTGTTAACCGAGATCCTCCCACCAGCGCTTAGGAAGTACCTTAGCCACAATCTTTTGTTCTCACCCACTGGCCGAGCGAATCATTTTGTCGCAAAGGATCACTGGCTTGAATGCCAAAATTATTGGTTGAAATTTGTTTACAACAATACTGGTAATGGAACGAACGTAGACCGACTCCGCGACCTTTTTTCGGTCAACATTATTCTGGTAAGCGGAAATACTCATGTCATCTCAACCCAGTGAAGTATTCAAGAAGAGTAATATTGACCGGTAGCCCTGTGATCTGATTTGATAGTTGCAGGGCATGTTCCAATCCCTCAAAGTGGATTGCGGTGCAACAGTGATTTATCAGTCACACAAGAATTCGCTGACCCAGCGATCGCTCGATATGTTCCTTCAGATGGCCGTCAACAGGCATGTATTAGACCAAACCATGTCTAAGCCAAAGTCACCTATCAATCGCATAGATAACACCCTCCTCACAGGGTTGGCTAAATTTAAGAGAACCATTCGAAGCAAGGACTCTCAGTTGAAGAAAATGAAGAAACACCTTTTGTATACCGGTCAAGCTCATGCAATACAAGATGAGGAAGAAGCGGACAGCGAGCCGGAACATGATAGTGGGATGTAGATAGGATAACAAATCTTTATTTGCAACTCAGAGATAGAGAGAAGTCAACTGATACATAATGTAGTTAAGACATCCTGCTTGCAATCATCATCATCCAATCACACTGCCCTACATTTCGCATCCTCTCTGTAGTGCCTTTTCCAAACCCTCC